GAAGGAGGCTTTTCTGCCCCAGGGAAATTGGGCCCCGATTCTGAACACAGATTCTTTACCTGAAGCAACACGGCAGTTCCAAAGCTGCAACAGGGAGACGGCTTAAGGGAGGAGGGGTGGAACTTGGGTGTTGCACATCCCTCCTCAAAAGATTTTCAGAAAATGCTGGGTAATGAACATACTTTTAGTACGTCCCCACCACTTGCTTGACCCCTTTGAGTTCCCAGCATGCCCTGCTCTCCCCTGCTGCCCTCCCTGTTTCCTGTCCTCCTCCAGGCTCAGGAGGAACCCCTCTGCCAGGGCCACGGCCTGGGAACTGGTCTCCGCTCCACATTCTCTCACCCAGCTCGACATCTCCAGCGGCAGAGGAGTCAAGAACTGCTCCAGAGTTACCAGGTCCATGACCTGATTCTTGGTGTGCTGCTCTGGTTTCAGCCACTGCCGGGAGAGGTGCTGCAGTTGGTTGCAAACCTCTCGGGGGTCCCGAGCTGCCTGGCAGCAAAGCTGCCTGATAAACCGATGTCTGCCTGAGCTGACCATGTCCTTGCCCAGGCCCAGGAACTGCTGCTTTGCTGCTTTCCAGATTTCGGTGTCGCTTCCAGGCCTGAAGTTGCTCAAGTGGCTCTTGTCCGTTGAGTTTGTCCATTTGCCTCCAAGAAAGATGGCCTCGCTAGCTGGTGCCGCTGAAGGTCTGCAAAGCTAAGTCACCTGTTACAGAATGATTATACCATCAGGGCAGGAAGGAATGCGTAGGTTCCAGGTAGCAGACCAGTCAGACTTCAGGAAGAATAGCAAGCGGCTGTAAATGCAGAGACACAAACTAAATACCTGGAGAGGTTTCTTTGCCTGACAGCTATGCACAAAATACCATACAGTGCTTTGAAAGTTAGAAGATGCAGGATCCTGCCCCTGCTGCCGCCCTCCCCGCAATTTTCCTTCAGTTCCTAACACTCTCTCGCCTTTGCATCCAGTTGGGTCCTCTGTTTATTCTTTACCCAAAGCCCTAAGCAGTTCCGTCCGTCCGTCCGTCCGTCCTTCCTTCTTAGATTTTATATTGTTAAACCATCCCAAGACTTTGGTAATGGGATGGTCTACAATTTTTTTTAAATAAATGAATTAATGAAACCTTCTGCTGCCATTATATTCTCCTTCAGCCTCTCTTACTGTAAACTATCTAGAAATCGTTTTCAAAGAAAGCAGTCCTTCAATGAAGGATCCCTGATTAATTGCCCAATGTTTTAAAATCATATAATAGTCGAGTTGGATGGGTCTAGAGGGCCACTGGGTTCAACCCCCTCCTGTTGCAGGACACTAATTTACACCATCCCACTCAGATGGCTGTCCAGGCGCTTTTTGAATGTCTCCAGTGGGGGAGAGCCCATCACTTCCCCAAGTAAGAGGCTCCATTGTCCTACTGCTCTGACAAAGGGGAAATGCTTCCTGGTTGCCAGTCTAAATCTGGTTTCTTTTAACTTAAGTCCATTACTCAGTATAAATCTGTTTTATTTATTTATCTATCCTGTCCGACCCGGCACGAAAGGATTTTTAAAGCTCCTCTTTTCTTTTAACATCTTGTCTTTCGCCAGCAAGACTAGCAGAGTCTTCTTTGGTTGCCTACCTGCTAATTAAAATGGGCGCAACATATTTTGCCGTCCCCACTCCCAGTCGAGGTGCCAAGGCCAGGCCAGGCCAGGCATGTTGGCACTGCAGACAGAAAATCACTCAAGTGCTTCCCCACATCCCAGGGAGTGAAAATATGGACTGTGCTGACTTCCTGGACACCCCAAATCACCTGCCAGGAGAGGCCCCTCATGCAGCCACAGCGTATGGCCAGCCCTGACCAGGGCAAGCGCCGTCTTAACAGCATGATGGGCCCCGGGCAAAGCAGTGTCCTGGGGCCCCTTCGACAACAACAACTGCTGTTAATTTGGGAAGTTTTCCCATTTCCCAAGGGTTGACATGCACAGATTAGTATGGGGCCCACGGGCAAGCGCCCCGCAGGCCCACGCGTTCAGACGGCCCTGGGCACCGCATCTGCGGCCCTCAGCCCAGTGTTCTGGCCTTCGGACAGTCCAGTCCAGTCCAGTCCAGTCCGCAGAGCCCCGGGGAGCACCTTTGCCACGTCTGGAAATGCCTCCCAGGAGCCACGCGGGGCGACAGGCGACCGGGCTGCATGCACGGCGGTACAATCCTCGCCCCGGCCAGCTTGTTGCGGGCCTCCAGTGATCCTCCCCGCGCCCCAAACTAAAAAGGCCCCCTGGCTCTTGCGAGAGGCGAGAAAGCGGAAGAGCCTGTGGGAGGTCACCTCGCTGGGGGTGGGGGTCCTCCCCACACCCTCCCGGGGTCCTCCCCAGGCCCTCCAACATCACCCCCAGCCAACGGTGCTCCCACTTCTCTCCCCTTCACGGGCTGGGGCGCCATGCGCACCCCGCTTCACTGCAGCACCCCAGGGCCCCCCACCCAAGGAGGGGAGGGGAGGGGATCCCACCTGACTCAGGGGCGGGAGGGGCGGGAGGGGAGGGGAGAGGCCCCCAGGCGGCCCCTGGGAAGGCCGGCCCCCGCTATCCCAGAAGCGGAGGGCGGGGTGGGGGGTCTCTGACACGGAGACGCCCCCGCCCCTCCCCCTCCCCCCTCCCCGCAGGACTGCGGCTGCCTCCGCTTCACCCTCGCCGCGCCGCTTCGGGACGCCCTCCAGCGCGGCGCGCCCCCTTTCGCCGCGTCCCGGCCGCCCTCCCGCGACCCTCGCCCCGCGTCGCCCTCCGTGGCCGAGCGGTCTCTCCCGTGGCCGGGCCGCCCAGGGTTTCTTACTTTCTTTCCCGCCGATCGCTCCTGGGAGCCGCCCTGGGGTTTGTCCTGCTCCGCAATGCATTCATTGCATTACCTGGACCGCATCTCGTATCTGGACGGCCGTTCTCCCGGCGTGGAGACGCTCTTTTGGGGCTCCCTCAAAACACTTTTTTGCTCCCCCCGCCAGGCAGGCAATCCGCAAATCTGGCCACTTTACCCCTCACTCTTAACTCCACATTATTGATGATGAAATTAGAACCGGGGGCCCCCGGTGAAAACCCCCGCCTCTGTCGGGAGACTTTAACACCTGCCCATGCACTTGAACTTACGACTGACCTATATTTCCACCCTTCCCTTCCACGACTTAATTTGCTCAGGAGACTTCCCGAAATCCTTTCTAGAACACCAAATAAATCTTGTCCCCATGTTGATTAATCGTCTTAAAGAAACCCAAAAGGTTAACGAGACAGGAGTTACCTTTACAGAAGCCTTTTTTAAAGCAGAGCATGTTCTTCTATATGCTAATCTTTATCATTTAATAATGCTTTCAACCAAGTTATCCAGAAAATATTACGCTATCGAGTCTTCAAATTTTTTAAAAATCGAGATTTTATTGGCCATTCTCCAATCCTCTGGTAGGGAGGCTGATCTTAGGCCATTTTTCTTAGAGCAGCCATTTTCCATTTGGTTTCTTTAAGAACATTAAAGAACAAATTAAGAACAAATAACAACTGGGCCTGGTGACCTATCAGCTTTCCATGTGTCAAGCAAGAATTTCATTCATTTATTCATTCTTTCAAGGAATATTCCTAGCTCTGAAGATTCTTCTCTTGAAAACAACAGTTCAGCCACAGATTCCTGACAGAAAGCTTCTGTAGTGAAGGCTAATCAAGAGAATTCATTTGGCTTCTCTGCAATCTTTTAATCCTCTATTTAGTGCCCCTTTAATTCCGCTTGTCCAAGAGCTAGTTGTCTCCTGTACTCTATTTTAAAAACTATTCTTGGCCTTGATGTTGTGATATCAAAATGTTTTGCATTTCTTGTCTGCTTACACTTTGTGGAAGTTTTCACTGTTTCCTCTTCCTTTGGGCAAGATCTCCAATTTCTGAAGGAAGGAAGGAATGCGCTCCCCAGAGAGGTCCGCCTGGCGCCGTCGTTATTTGTTCTTCGGCGCCAGGCGAAGACCTTTTTATTTAAGCAGCATTTTAAATGTTAATATTATTGAATTTTATCTGGCCAGGGCGGCTTATTTTATATTCTATGTTTATATTTTATTCTAATGTTTATATTTTTAATTTATGATTATTTAACTTATTGTTGTAAGCCGCCCCGAGGCTTTGGCGAATGGGGCGGCATAAAAATGTTTTAATAAATAAAATAATAAATAAAACAAACTTTTTTTCTAACAGTAATCTTTAGGTATGATTACTGCTGGTAATCTTTTGGATGCGGTGCTACCTTTCCTAACATGGTATACATTCTAGGTGAGTTCCTATTGTTGTTTTGAGTAACCATTTTAAAGGGATTTAATCCCCTTTCAGCTTCTTTTATCGGGTCTATTTGTTGAGCTTCCCTTTTTGAAATGAAAAGTTACTGTGTTGGATTTCCTTAATCACAAAATTGTAGATTTAGAAGGGGTCCAAACGACCATTGGGTCCAGCCCCCTGCTCCATGCAGGACTCCAAGTTAAAGCATCCCTTTTATGACTGTCCAGCTGCATCCCGAATGCCTCCATTGTGGGAGAGCTCACAGCCTGCCTAGTAGTTGGTTCCTTGGGAATTTGGGATGTGGACATAATGTAAAACTGGTAGCACTGTTCTCACAACTTCCAGGTAGTTTGACCTAGCACTGACTCCAGATTCTGGCCTCTTCTGGTCTGTTCTAGAGCCAACTGCTGCAGGACACAGTAGATCAGCGCATAAAGAAATCTAACTTGTCATGGCTAGAACATGCATCTGCCTGGTCATTGCGGAGGTGACCAAAATTGCCCATTATTTTTGCACTTCTTCATTTCCATTTTATGACTGCTGAGCATTCTGGCTTGGGGGCATGGGAAGAGCATTTCTGTAGTACTAGATCACCATGAAGTGTGGCATTGTCATCAACAATGCTTCTGTGCGGTATGCTGCTTTTCGGTTTTTGCAATCTGCTTAACCGCTTTGCTGTACAGCGAAGAAAAAGCCACTCAAATGTTGGACAGCGAAAGAACCAACTGCATTTTAAATCCTATTTAATCTTGTAAAAAAATAATACATAAACTTCAAGGTTTTCTACACAAGGACATGCAGGTGTAGACATTTCAGCATTTTCCATCGGCTCATGTTAGGCGACCAACACTTTCAGTTGATGTTGAGGATCTTTTGCTGTAAGTTGTTTGCATTGCATTAATGCAATGCACTGAAACCATACAACTCGCAAGGAAGGATGCCGGCTGCTCTGGAAATGCTCTGAAAAAGAGGTCCCGTCCTTATGGCTTAGAGCTTAACCAGCCTACATTTGCTTTTGATCTCCTTCAGGAGCAAATGAACTCTTTTGCACCAAGCTCTGGTGTGAAGGCAGGAGGAGCCCTTGCCGGGTTACGACTGCTCATGGCTTATAAACAGGAAGGGGGGCCAGATGCTCATGCACAATCATTCTGTTCACTATTGCATGCAGATACCCTTTCCTTGCTGATTCAGGCCTCAAGCAGAGCAGCATGCCAGCATGTGGCAAATTATACTAGTGTCGGCAGAGTTTACCATTGACATTAAATGCTTAGTAACTAGCATCTGAGAGCATAGTGGCCTGCCAACCAGGCAAATTTGCCAGGCCCAGGTCTGACCAGTCTACAACACCACTTTCACAATATTTGGTGTTTCAGTTCCTTTGTGTTGCACTTGGGTTCAAGCAAGGTGTCATGTCACAGAATAAAAAAGTCTCCATGCAATTTTTCCTGCAAAGTGCTGACTGGAACTTCAATAGCCTTGGCAAAAAAAAAAAGAAAAAGAAAAGAAAAGCTCTTCACCCAAAAGCAAGGATAGGAACCAGTAACTTCGGAATGGAACTAGAAGAATTAATTTGTGGTGTAACAGGGAAAAAATGTCACTGCAGAAGAAATCTCACTGGATTCCACCTCCTACCTGCCCTGTGTAAGCTCAGGTCTCCTGGATTGTCCTGACTGCTGGTCTTCCTTTTGTGTAAGTGCGCAAGATAACACAGAGGGAGGGGCAACTGACAGACCAGTTTCTCAGCCTTCAAAAGGACAAGCAGTGTCTTTTCTTTGAGGTGTTCCTGCATTTACAGTGAATTAAAAACCACTTCTGTTTGGCAATCCTGCTGTCTTTTGAACTGATCGCTAAGAGCTATAGCGTCTCACAAGCTCCAGGCTGTAGACAGCAAAGACCCGTTACTGGGCTCACAGCCTAAGCCAGCGGGGTGGTGCAGATGGACGTCAACAGAAGAAGTCAACTTCTGAACAGAAGCATCAGTTGGCACAAGAGAGCAGTGAGAACGCAGACCGCCGTGTGGAGCACAAAACAGAAGGCAGAAGAGTGCAACTGCGAAAACGCACAGCGAATGCGTGAGCACATGGGGGCATTCACGGCGGTCAGAAGACAAGAGCTCCGGTTGTCAAGAGGGTAACTGGAGATGCTGGGACATCACTGGGGATATGCAGAAGTCTGCAAGCTTAAAACCGCCACTGCTCAAGGCGTATGGCCACACTGCAGCGTAGAACTGAATTAAGGCCAAGGTCGGAAGGGTTTTGCTCCCTGAACTGCTTGATCGAAAGCGGAAGCTCGCAGTAAAGGCTGCCCAGGCCAGCGGCCTTGCAAGGCTCGCCCTCGGCCACCCTGAGAGGGCTGCCTCTCCTGCAGAAGGGCCTCTCCTGACCGAAACTGCTCGCGGCAGCGTTTTCTGAAAGCAGTCTGCGGAAGCGTGGGGACCCACGAGAGAGCGTCAGGTAACGACCTGGCAACTGCTGGCTCCAGGGTGCAGGCGTGGGTCGATTCATGCCCCCCCCCCCAGTGCAAACCAGGCCGCTGTTCTGCCCCTCATCTATTATTTTGGGGAACTGGGAGGAGACACAGCCAAGAAGGGGTCTCACTTCTGCCTACATGCCTCTCCACCTCTCCTCTACTTCCCGCTATATTATCATGTGGTGGTCCAGATGGCGCTGTTGGGAAGAATGGAGGAAGAGGAGGCAGGGAGAGATGAAGACCTGCTAGAAGAACCACTGCCCCTGTGCTAGCCAGAACAGCCCACTGGCAACCAAGTTCTGAAGGAGTCAGATACAGAGAGAGGCTTTCCACAGAGAAACCAACTACTTTACTTCCCAGATTCAAACGTATCCTAAGACAATGGCACCCGTATCCCATATTCACTAATTAGATCACCAGCTTTAAGAGAGTGATCTGGAAAATGCAAATCCCTCATTTTTTCACCTGAAAGGCTAAAACAGATTTCCTAGCTTTGGGATTTCAAATCTCTCCTTCCACTGAACATGGATTCCCTGTCTGCTGATTCATATTCAGAATCGGCTGGAATGTAAGCTAGGAATTGGGCCACAGTGTGTGACTCCCACATGAGAGAAGAGGGAAGGGCAGGGGTCTGGAACAAGCCCTGCTAGTCCCAGGGAAGGAAAGCGAACACACCAGAGACACAGGCCTGGAGAGTACGGCTCCAGTGGCGAGTGGAGCAGCCCATCTCCTGCCCCATCCATATCCGGCTCATAACAGCGCCAGTGCTCCACTTCCAGCAGCCATGTTTTCTTATCCATGCGTGTGTGTGTGCACGTGTGAGAGATCATATAAACCAGTAAAGGTGCCAGGTGGCTGCCACAAACAGCCACGGTGCGGGGAAAGGCAAGGGCCCACAGGTCACTTCTCAAGGACGTGGATCCGAGGCGAAGGGCACATGACCAAGTGCAGGGCCAAGAGAAGCGACTCCACAGTAACCAGCAGGCTGAATTTATGCACCGCTTCTGGGATAACAGAATGCAGGGCCGCCACGGAAACTGGCCCTCCCTTTCCTCCACAAGGGCTGAGGCGTTCCAGTGGAGTGGGATTCCACCACGGACAGGCAACCTGCACTGACCCTGCGGCGGTGGCAGCAGCAGCGGCGGCTCCACCGGTTCTTGCCCCTTGTCTGGCCTGAAACGGAAGGGACGGAGGCTGCTTTCTCACAGGGGCTGGGAAGCTTGTTCGTGGGCGAGAGCGTGTCCTCCCCATTTTACTTGATGTTTTTCAGCAAGGCAGTCCGTGCGTTGACCACTGCCTTGAAGGCGTCCTCGCTGCCAGGGGCCATGCACTTGTCCGGGTGGAGCAGCACGGCCAGTTTCCGGTAAGCCTTGTTCACCTCATCCCTGCAGGTAAGACAGACATGCCCCAAGAGTTGCCATCAGAACCACAAACATGAAAAGCGGTGGGATTTGAGGTGGCCGGGTACGTCCTGGCTTGATCCTCGGGACCCAGGAGAGAGCACTGAAATTACTTGGGTGGTGGAACCCACAAACCGTCGTGTTATCTTTCTGAATGCATGAGTCATTTTGTTTATAAAAGCAGCCAAGCAAGAAAAGAACAGCCTCAACAATTATCGAGCAGGTGGATGAACTGCTCCTACTATCGCTATGTCCACTGTTCGGAAGGCCATGAACCCTTCATCTCATGCAGTTCCCCAGCCGTGCAGCTCAACATGAAGAATGCTGATCTTCATCATTTGAGACTGCAGAGCAGGGGTCCTCAAACTATGGCCTGTGGGCCAAATCCGGCCCACCATGCCCATTTAACTGGCCCACCCCAGGTTTTGCACTCGCTGCCGGTGCGTGGCTTGCTTGCTCAGAGAAAACTATCTCCTCATGAGTAAGTTGGCACCTCGCCGTGGGTGCGCCCGGTGGCAGCTTGCTCACGGGGAGATCGTTTTGGATTTGCTTGGAGAAAATGATCTCAGCACGAGCAAGCCGCTGCCTCGCCCAGCGCACCTCCTGCCTCTGGTTGCTGCGCCCCTCCGCTGGCACCACCTTGTCGGCCTGTGCTCACCGCCAGCACCTTGCGACTGGCCCCCTGCTGAAAAAGTTTGCGGACCCCTGCTTTGGAGGGTCCTTTCAGAGCCCGCTGCTTCTTTCACAGCGTGACGGGGAAGGGACGGATACCAGTACTTGGCGTGTGGCTTCGGTGCATGCGCATCAAGCAGGCTCATGCGCGATGGCCAGCGATGGCGGGGCATGTGTTCTCGCCGCATCGGCCGCCAGCAAACATGCGCAGCACAGTGTGTCCAGTCCTTGTAGAACCACACAGAGACGCAAGAGGGTGCTTGTGTTCAGGTTCCCTGCTTCACCGCTGCTTGTTCCGCATTCCGAACCCACAAACGTTTCCAGGTTTAGATCATGGAGGTCTGTGGCACACGCAGCTGCGGCTGCAGCAGCGCATCCTCCTTGAGCTCCCCTCTCTCTGAATCCAGCCGGCAACTGGGCGGCAGGGCTGAGCTCCATCCCTGCCACGCCAGCAGGTGGCTTCTGGGTGGCCCAGCGCCAGCCACAGGGTCTTGCCAGCAATGGGGCTCGGCGCCACAGCTCCCCCGCCAGCAGCAGTGACCGTGAAGACAGCTGTGCTGCATTGCTCAACTCTACTGGAGCAGCGCTTGGAAATGGCCGAGCGTTTGTGCCACCCTGGGAGCCAGAGGTCTCCTCGCGCGAAGGTGGCCTTGACGTGGGGATCGAGGGGGCTGTGCACAGGCACTGGCATCAGAGCCAGCGCCCCGAGACGACCGTGTCTCCTGCTCTCGCCTCTGCTCCTGCATGGCCCCGACAGTCTCGAGGACTCCCAGCACGCCCCACTGTCCCCCTGCAACAGCTGCAGGAGAACTACTGCCCTAACAGTCTGCGAGGACGCTTCCCCAGGCAGGTGACCGGACAGGCACTCTCTGGTAAGCGTGCCCCAAAATGCACACCCCGTGGCCCTGGCATGGGTGCCTGTGCTGATGCCTTCCATGTCCTGGCTGCACCGGGGTGGGGGGTGGCCTCTGACAGCATGGGCCAGTCCGGGGTGGGGGGGGGGGGCAGGGACACGTGGCCGGGGATTAGGGGGGAGATGTGTTTGCATGTTGGTGCAGAACATGGGAGCACGGGGGGAGCTCCTGCAGTGTCCCTCTGGAGCAAGAGTGCTCCTCTAGCAAGTAGGCAGTCACTTCACTGAGTCCCGGGGGGAGGGGGGAGGGGAGCTGGCCGAGGCCATGTCTAGGGGAGGGGGAGGCAAGTGACCCGGGCAGGAGCAGTGCACCCTGGGATTGGCTTTGAGCAACAGGGACTGATGGGATACTGGCCCCCAACTGGAAGGAAGATGGAGGAGAAGCATGGAAACCATGTATGCCTGGAAACCAAGTGCCTGCCTGAGCACAGGGTTCAAGGTGAGAGGCTTGAACGTCGCATGGCTTAGCGTCGTGTGTGAATGCGCCCACCGTCTAGGAGTAACTGATGCTGCCAATGGGCAGTGGGTACCTGCCACTATTAGGAGCAAGAGACAGGTATATGGCACCAGCAAAGGGAGAAATTTTGCAAACCTGCTTGGGAGAGAGGCTTTACTTACCAGCTGAGCTTCCCACACAGAAAAACCCCCCTCCCCTTACTATTTCCCCTGAATTATCAGGACACCCCCAAAACCTTTCCCATTCCCTCCCAGCCCGGAGCTCCACTGCTGGCTTTACCGCAGCAGTGGAGCCCCTCTGCCCAAAGCCTGAGGGCCCCATTACCTGGTGGCGCCTGGCTTGACACCCAGCATGTCCCAGCTGTCCTTACTACTGCGGATTCTCCGGATGGTGTCCGCTTGCTCCTTGGTGAAACTGATGCTCATGCTGGACAGTGGGCGCTTTCCACCGTTGTCACACAGATCAACAATGGCAGAGTAGAAAGTCTGGAAGCATACAGAAGACAACATTAACACATTCTCATATATCCTTGCTGCTCCACGACCCTTATTTTAACGGCTGCCCAGAAATCTGAAGCAAGACCTTCAAATGGTATGGAAGGGTGACTGGGGAGGAGACGGCTAAATTCCGCCCTACCCTGGCTTTGGGTATAACTGAAGCATTCGATTACACCCAGTGCGAAGGGCCGGCAGTACACCCCATCCGCTGAAGAGGCGCCCTCATTTGCATGAGTGCAATGTTAATAACAGCAGTAATAAATCATCTTCTGGGGAGGTTCTCCTTTCAGTCCCTCCACCTTTATCGGCATGCTCAGGCGGAAGATGGGCAAGGGCCCTCTGGACGGCTGTGACAAGGCTCTGGAATGCCCTCTCCAGGGAGGCCAGATTGGGACCTTCCCTGCCACGTTTTCAGTGGTAAGCAAAATCCTTTCTGTTCTGGCAATGAGCCTGCATAGGACCATTTTTATTCTACACATTTTTAACATTTATAACGTCGATATTTTATATAATTACATTAGTAGAATATTAAAATTATGTTTCTAAGTGTAACGGTTGGGCGAAGTACCCCCCCCCCATGGCGCTGCTAAGAGTTCCCCCCTCTTGGCAGCCACTAGGGTCCAACTAGTCCAAGTTCGCTTCCTAAGAAGCCAAACCGCACTGGATTAGCACACAGCGACCCAAGACTTGGGGAAAAGGAGTTTTATTATGCAACATCCAACAGTACATGCACACAACAGTGCACACAGCTACAATTTACACAAAGGTAAGGGAAAGGGTATGGGAAAGGGGAAAGTGGATAGCCGCTTCCAGTTAAATGTTATAGTAGCACTTAGTCAAATCCCTTACATCATTTGGCCACCCCAGGCACTAAAACAAGAACAGCTAGCTGACCTAAAATCCTAACAACTTTCCCAGTACTTATTGGTCTTCTCATGAGTAGCAGGCTCCAGAGACTTTTGTGACCAGTGCAGCTACCCCTCCTTTTTATCCCCTTCCTGAGCAACCAGGTTTCTTTGCTCCCAGAGATGACATCAAAGCGAATCTCTTTCACTGGCCTAGGTGCTAACTTTGGTGGTTGTGTCGATCCTTGACAAACTCCAGGCCTGCAGCAACTCCCTTCCTCCCTGCGAGGCCTTGGAGGCTACCTGTGTCAGCCTGATATCTCTCAGCCTTTAACCCTTGCCTCTCTCTCCTCCACACAAGCCTCCTCCGTTACCCTAACTTTTGAATATTTCCCCTATTTATGCTCTAATTGTTATATATGTTTTCAGTGTTGTAGGCTGCTTTGAGTATTGGGAATAAGTGGAATGCTGCTGTTGCTGATCCAAAGCACTGGCCCATTCTTGCCTGGAAACATTCCAAATGTGAGGTAAGACTAAAGCATAGGTAAAGGTAAAGGTTTCCCCTTGATATTAAGTCCAGTCATGCCTGACTCTAGGGGGCGGTGCTCATCTCCATTTCCTAGCCGAGGGAGCCAGCGTTTGTCCGCAGACAGTCTCCATGGTCATGTGGCTGGCATGACTAAATACCAAGGTGCATGGAAAGCTGTTTACCTGCCCACCGAAGTGGTACCTTTTTATCAACTTGCATTTGCATGCTTTTGAATTGCAAGGTTGGCAGGAGCTGGGACAGAGCAATGGGAACTCACTCCGTTGTGCAAATTCGAACCGGCGACCTTTCGATCAACCAGCCCAGCAGCTCAGCAGTTTAAACCACTGCGCCACTTGCATCCCTATTGAAAAGACTGAAGCATACAACCTATCTTAATCCTGCAAAGAACTCTGTCTAACTTTTCAGCTTAAGAAACCCTGCTCTAAGATGTTTTGGGCTTTGTCCATGAAAGGATTTAAAAGTAAAACAAAACAGGTCAGCATGACTTAGAATCTTCAAGACATTTACAATTCAAGATGAAAAAGCACAAAGTTACAGAAATACTAATGGCTTGTACCCGAAGTATTGCAATCTGGAAAAAATTACTAAGCAGTAATGATAGGTGAACTTCCCTCCAAACTGTTTTTAATTGGCTCAGTATCTACAAACTCTCTTGGAGACCCTTTAAAAACTTACACCACTCATATTTCCCAAAGACTGCTCCCGCTGCTTGTAGTCCTGGCATATCTTATCACTGGGTAGGAAACATGCAGTCCTGCTGTACCATGAAATTTGGCAGAAGCAACATAAGCTGCACCAAACCTGCCATTTTAGCACGATGAGCGCTTAAAAAGTGACGTTCAATGTGTTCTCAAGCTAAATCTGTTCCTTTCAGCAGTCGATGGTGGTTTGCTGTCAGATTTTGGTTGCAAACCACCATTTTTATCTCTGGTATAGTCACAGAAGTGAGTCTGGGGTGAAAAGCATCACATGGCCTGATCTGTTGGAGGCACCCATCAACACGTTATCTATTTCTTGTTCAGAGCCAAGTCTATTTTTAGTCAAAGCACATGTTTTACCTGCCAAACCAAAATATGCATCAAAACATTATGGGTGAGTAAATGCTAATTCCCAAAGGGGTAATTACAAAGTTTCATCAACATCATGACTACTGCATTTTTTCATTCAGAATTTTCAGCCTACAGCTGAATCAAACTTTGCTTCAATACGGCACCTACTAGCAATTCCCAGTCTGTGAAATGGGCAGAAATACAGCACCCCACATATGAAGGCTGAAAAGTGTCGTTTCAATGTTCTCATTTAGTAGATCACACCAGGCACAGGCTTCTGTTAGAAGACAAGTAAAAGGCTGCAGGAAGGCATGACAGATTCTACCTGGAACATCTCATTGATTCCTTCTCCAGTCTGGGCTGAGGTCTCAAAATAAAGGAAGCCCCGACTTTCTGCCCACAGCCGACCTTCACTTTCATCTACAGTGCGGAGCTTGGTACAGTCAATCTAAAACACAAATGGGAGAAATACATGATCCGAACTAATACCTATTGACCTGCAGTCCATGATTTTGTCTTCTTAAAAGCCAGTGCTGCACATCATGACATTACCAAACCACGCTGCTTTCTTGCCCAAGAGTCTCTGTAGGTGTTATCAGAGGCTTATTTTATTCTACTGTATATATTTTAATTGTTATTGTTTTAATGTATTGTGTATTTTATTTGATGTTGTAAGCCGCCCCGAGGCTTCAGCAAGGGGCGGCACAGAAATGTTTTAATAAATAAAATAAATAAATAAATCAGAGTCCCGGCCAGAAAACAAGAACCTTTCTACACCACGCGGTCCTCTTAGAAATGGTTACCTTGTTGGCACAAACCACAAAGACAATGTTTTCCATGTTTCCATGTGGTCCAAGTTCCTGCTTCATCTCAGCAAGCCACATGTCCAGAGCATCAAATGATTCCTTCTGCCCAACATCGTACACTAGGATGACGCCCTGGGTGTCCTTGTAAAACTCATTGCGCACCTAAACAGAACACAGAAGCAAAGCAATCGGGATATTAAGGACCAACAAGAAGCCCCAGCAAAGTTAACTGGCCACAAGTACCACACCTCATCAGTGCACTGGTCTGACATTTATAGGTCAAGTTTGTTTGTTTGTTTGTTTGTTTGTTTATTTAAAACTTTTCTATACCATCCCATACTTAAAAGTCGAGGGACAGTTTACAGCAAATTAATAATAATTAAAAAAAAACCAATAACAATTGCCCAGCATCCAATGTTAAAATATAAAGCCACCACTAAAACAAATTAACAATTAAAATACTGGGATAATAAAAACGTTTTCGCCTGACACCGAAAGGAAAGAAGCACTGGCACTAGGCGTATTTCTCTGGGGAGCGTGTTCCACAATCGGGGCACCACCGTAGAGAAGGCCCTCCTCTGGGTAGTCACCTCTTGATCCCTTTCAAGGATGGTTCCCAGAGGAGGGCCTCTGACTTGGATCTCAAGGGGCGGCAGGGCTCATAGGGCAGAAGGCGCAAGCCGTTTAGGGCTTTATAGGTCATCACCAGCACCTAAAACTGGGCCCAGACTTCAATCAGTAGCCAGTGTAGACAATAGAGGACCAGCATTATATGAGAACGTAACTTATATATAAGTTCCCATCACTTGAGGGCCAACATAGAACTGATCTGTCACAATCTACCCAGGCAGACAAATGCAGATGTATTATTTGTATTATCATCACACTGCATTTATATCCTGCCTTTTTTCCTCTTGCAAGGTACCCGAGGCAGCTTACATAGTTCCATTTTACCCTCACAAGAACCCTCTAAAGTACAGCAGGCTAAGAATGACTGACTATCCCCAAGTTACCCAGTGAACTTCATGGCCAAGTGGGAACTGGAACCTGGGTCCGCCAGAGTCGCAGTCCAATGCACTACACGGGCTCTCAGTCTCGGACTCACCCACAACGCTATCATCTGATCCATGCCAAGAGAAGCATTTTCGACAGGAGTTGCTTCAAGTACAATCTGCCTGAGCATGGCTATAGTAAGGAGGTGAGACAAGCTGATGCATCCCTTCCGTCTTCAGAAGCCGGGAGGGTACAATAAGGATGAGGGTTAATGTGAATTTTATGTTATGCCCAGAAGTTCCACTTGAGTTGTAGGAGGGTCACCTGAGTACTCAACTTATGAACAGCAGGTGACAGAAGCACTTCAACCTTTTTGAAAGAACCATTTGGAACCTAACAGAGTAATGCCATACTGACCTGTAATTTAGTACCATATGAAAGAACCAACGTGAAACTCATGCAACACCAGGGAGTTGGACGCGGTGGCTGTGGCCCCTTCCAACTCTACTATTCTATGATTTTTCCTCCTCCTTTGGGAAGAACGCAAGAAGGCGACAGGGAGCATCTGCTTCTGTTTTCAACTAGCCATGGCTTGTTATATCCAAACAAGAATGAACTGTGGTTAGTTTTAGTTTTGGTGAGCCTAAAGACAACTTCTAAACCAGGAAAACGGAAGCCAGTATTTCCACTCTCTTCCTTGAGGCCACAGAAGAAGAGATGGAAACAGGCCCACCGACGAACTGATCCTAAAAAAGATCTTGGACTGTGCAGAAATAGATAGACTGACTTTGCCATTGAAGGAGAAAGATACTGACTTCTATCAAACTTGGGACTCTTTTTATTACTGGCTTGAGAAACGGGACTTCATATAGATTTAAATCTGTTTCTAAGTTATCATAAATGGAAAAAAATGTGGGGGCTGACCCAGCAGGTCTGATGTTTCTGATGATTGATGTTGTTTTTAGTTTTTCTTTGTTTTAGGGTTATAATTTTGAATAAAACTTATAAAAAAAGAGATGGAAACAGGTTTGTGCAAAGCACGTAAATGCTTCTAATGTGCAAACTGTGGATTGGCTTGCCAGGAGATGCATCACACCTCCCAGACTGCTACTTTCAAGAGGGAGTTAAAGATGCATCTCTTTTGACAGGCCTCCCCAGATTAGTTTCATGCTTGCTTTTAGTTGAAATTTTAATTATTGTTTTAATCTCTTGTACACTGCCCAGAGCCTATGGAAATGGGATGCTATAAAAATCTACATACATATAGAAATACAACTTTTTTGGATATTTTTGGACACACTCAAGATGTTTAAAGATCAATGAGAAAAATACCACAAGTGGACATCATTTGTTCCAGCACACATTCCTCTGGCTATACAAAATCAAATGACTGTCTGCTGTTGAGAAGCCATCAAGTTTCTGCTAATTCAGAGTCCTCAAACAGACAGCGCTTACTGTGGATAAGCTATGGTTGGCTGAAAACAAAAGAAAATGCTTCCATCTCTTGCAATTATCCAAGAACAAGAGGAGAAATGCATAAAACAAAACTGCCGAGAACATACTCCACTTATACAAATCTTTGGTGTGACCACACTTAGGACACTGGGTACAGTTCTGGTTGCCACACCAGGAAAAGAACATTACTGAGTTGGAAAAAGTGCAGAGAAGGGCAAGGAACAAGATGAGGAAAAGTTACAACAGCTAGGATTGTTTAGCTTAGAAAAAAGGCGAGCGAGCGGAGACATGATAGAGGTGTTCAAAATTATGTATGGTGCAGAGAAGGTAGAGACTATTTCTCCCACACTCATAATACTAGAACCTGGGGTATTCGTGAAGCCGATTGGCCTGAAATTCATGACTGATAAAAGGAATGACTTCACACTGTGTACAGTCAGACGATGGAATCCAATGCCAAAGAAGGCAGTCATGGCTTTAAAAGGGGATTCAATGGATTCATGGAAGAGGGGGCTACCAGTGACTACTAGTCTTGATGGGTATGTGCTACTTCCAGTATCAGAAGCGATATGCCTGTGTACACCAGCTGCTGGGAAGCTTGGACAGGAGGGAACTGTTGCACTCATACCCCGCTTCTGGAATCCTGTGCTCAGTTGGTTTGCTGCCATATGAATGGAATGCTGGGCTAGAGGGACCTCTGGTCTGATCCAGCTTGGCTTAGGTTCTTATTATTTATCTACTTGGAAAAAATAAGGCCACTTTTGAGGGTGAAACTCTCTCAAGGCAGTGAACAGAAGAAGATCCATTCAAACATTTACAAATAAGAAATGCACACACAATAAAGTGCTCTTAAACAAAGTATATGGTAATATTGACGGCAAAGAAGGCAGAGGATGAGGTGGCTGGATGGGGTCACTGAAGCAGTCAGCGTGAGCTTAAGTGGACTCCAGGGGATGGCGGAGGACAGGAAGGCCTGGAGGAATGTTGTTCATGGGGTCGCAATGGGTCGGATGTGACTTTGCAACTAACGGCTACAACAACAACATATGGCAATATGCTTATTTTAACATATATTCTAGTTTCATTATATTCCATGGAGATGTCTAGCTTTTCAGGGCAAAAAAATTCTAGATATATGTGCTGAGGTCATAGGCAGAAAACTGCCATCTTGCTTACCTCATAGAAGAAGGGGTGTCCAGCCATGTCAAAGATGTTCACTTTGATTTCCCGGTCCCGAACCTGCACTCTGAATGAAAGATGGCCATTAAAATTCAAGCACAAGAATACCAAATGCCCTTCTATCTTGCACCAAGTTCAGCTGTTCTCCAACACAAGGCTCAGCAAACATGACAACATGAAAGCTAAAATTGCAGGGTTCATTTGTGAAAAGAATAAATAATTGGATACTGATCGGTGAAAAGAGACCCTAAATGAGAGTATACATTTTCCTTCTACTGTTCATTTCAAATTTTCCTTCCACTTTTCCTTCCTTCCTTCATTTCCACTAGTATTACAGCAGGGGTTTCTTTAGGCAGTCAAAATATTCTCGATGTCATATATAACCTGACTATCTACAGAAAACACTTTCTTTTCCAAGGTGCAACATGTAGTAATTGAACGGGATATAAAAGCTTTAAACAAGCAAGCGAGCCAACAAATGCTGATTTTCACCAGTCTTATGACAGCAAAATGACTGACTGCAGTCGCTTAGCAATCAGCACATGACTTCCAGTCTTTCTATATATACATATATTTCACATGGGTTCTCGGCACATTGGACTATTTTCAGGACTTGCTGTTTGTAATTAATTGTATGCGGTGAATGAAGGGTACTCACTTGGTGACACCATAATCTATGCCAATTGTTGCAAGGTATTTGGGCACAAACCTCTTCTCACAGTATCGCTTTATAATACAGCTCTAAAAAGCAAAAGAACAGTGAATTTGACTGAGCTGTCTATTCAATCTGTTGTATGAATTGCTTTGTAAAGCTAATTACACTGTGCATCTTGTGCATGTGTGTGAGTACATGTGTGTGAGAGATTGGTACATGTAGAATGTAAGCAAATATAAATGCTATTTTCAGTTAAGAATATCCATTTTCTATTATAAAAGATCCATAATTTGTATCTTCCCAAACAGTTATGTAAGTTTCCCAGTTTAGCCTTATTGCTTTTATATGCAGTGTGATCACTGTCACCCACAGCGGCCATTCTATCAAGCTACAACAGAAGGAAGGAAGAAAGAGAAAGCAGGACCACTGCGCTGGCTCAGCCAAGAGAGGGGCACATTTAAGATAATATGAAAACTTACTCGTTAGCTGAGATATGCATTACTGGAAGCGCTCCTCTGGCTTTTGCCAGTCAAATGTGAGGCCACTGGCCACACAGGGCAGGGCCATTTCTATAGTATAGCTTTCCTTAACCTGGTGCCCTGCAGGGGCATTGGACTGCAACTCTCATCATCCCCAGCCAGCATGGCCAATGGCTGAAGCTGGTGCGAGCTGTAGGTCCACACTTCTGCACTGGTTGTGAGCCCTTGTTTTGCCCTCCCCAGAGAAATCTGCCTACCCTCCTCCTCATTTTCTTTTAGAAGGCAGGGCCTCATGCAGGCACTTCCCTCTGCTGCCCGGGCCCAGCTGCCAACGCCAGGAGTGCTCAGGGCTGCTCACCGAGGCCTGTCTTACGGCGCCCGTGCGCTGCAGTGGGTGGGGGTACCCAGGGCGGCCAGGCCTGCCACTCCACCGTGAAGCTAACGGAGCAACACTTAATTTTATATTGTTATTTTTGTATTTTATTGTGTTGTAAACCGCCCCGAGGCTTCGGCAAGGGGCAGCATAGAAATGTTTTAATAAATAAATAAATAAAAACACTGAGCCAGGAATTGGGGACAAGACCTTGCCCCACACCCAAATACTTTGGGCAAAGAATGGGATTAAGGCACTACCATCCCTGTTGCCACCAGCACCCTAGGAGTGAGTTAGGACCAGGCCTTTGCGACAATCTTTGGTGGGAAATATGCGATTTATTTCAGATTCAATAAATGGCAAAGTATTTATTGGAATAAATAATAAACTCTACTGGAACTGCCCCCTTCTCTAGAATTGTAATTGTCATCAATGTTCCTATTCTTTTTAATTGATGCCACTCTATCATATTCATTTGACTTCATGGTTTCAATTATTGACAGCAACCCCTCCAGTTTTTATAAGGCAAATACATGAATGAATAAAGAGTGTGAGCTTACATAGGATTCCACCTAGAACAATTTTGTGTCAGCATCCCTTTACATGAGAGTAGGAGCTTTTGAAAGCTGTTCGTTAATTTGCATTTCTGTAACTGATTGCAGTTTCAATTGGTTTATTATTCAGTTTTGAACATTCTAATCATTTGAGAATAGATTTTGGTGCAGAAGCAAGACAGGAGCATTTTAAATAGAATTCTAAAAGGTGTTACAGAGGCTAGGAAACAAGTTAGCTGGGCAAAACCATACTTATTTTCCCAGGTATTGGTACTTTATTTATAGCTCAATTGTTGTGGGCTGATTTTGTGATATACACTTCAGGGGTGCAGAGAGAAATAGTAGCCATTGTGGATGAACGCTTTTTGCATTAACTTTTTGATACCTTTATATCAAAAGTTACTTGAATTACTTCACTGGCTGTGGTTTATAACAACGACAAAATCAAGTATATTATTATATTTTAATATAATAATGATGGATTTTTGTAATTGGCAGTGTGAGGCACTTCAAGACTACTTTTTGCAGTGTGATGTCAATTTAATTAAAAATTATAACTGACCTAACTTGCTTCACAGGGGGTTTGTGAAGAAGCTTTGGCTACTGGATCGAATAATAATGTACCAAATTATTTTGAAGTGGGGAGGGGAAGATGCCTTGAATAATGCACTTTACCCTCCTTGAAAGAAGGGCAGGGTATTCAAAGAAAAAAATGCATTTTGAAGGACCACCTTGACCACCTCTTCCCAAAAGCCTTTGCGCTTTGCCACAGAACTGGCGCACATCGCCTCACGCCAAGCTTAACTACCTTAACCGCCAACACGGACAGGGGCACCTGATTGGTTGCCCAGCTTGTCATTCTCCCCGCCTCGGGCCAATAAAGCGCCTCCTCTCTGCCCCCTCCTCAGCTTACCTTGCCTACCTCCGCGTTGCCCATGGAGATGACTTTGATCCGCAAAGACTTGCGCGGTTCCTTCCGTTTCGCCTCCATCGCCGAGGGGAGGAGAGGAGGCCTCTCTCCTCACCGAAGCAGGACAACGGCTCAAGGGCCCTCGGCAGGCCCGCCGCTCGGGACCCTCACCCGCACCTCGACCTCCGCCGCCCCGCTCCCCATGGCTCGCTTGGCACTGCCGCCACTAAGGCCCGCACAACGCTTCGCGTCTCCCTGATCTCGCGAGAAGTGCGCTGAGAACGCTCCTCCGGCCAACCACGCGGGAACTATGAAATCTCGCGAGAGTAACTGGCCTGCCTCTGGCGAGAGTGGCCGTAGTTACGGCGCGGGGCCCGTTCGTGTCTACTCGGGGGTAAGTTCCAGTGAGTTCAACGGGCCCCCCTCCCAGGTAAGCGGATCTCGGACTGCAGAGCGACTTGTCTGGGAAGAAAGACCCATTGAACTCACGTGGGGTACGGATGGAGTTGTCATGGAAATCAGCCTTTCCCAGCCTGTCGTCCTGCAGGTGTCTCGGGACTGCAAGCCCCATCATCCTGAGCCGGCATAGCTTTAAGAAGCGGTTCTCAGGGCTGCTTTTGCCGCTTTTCCTGCGGCCGCAACCACGGGACGGTAGCTTTTCCTGGTCTGCTCGCTGGATTTGTTTTAAAGGGCTGGGTATGGTCTGTGTGGGGAGACGACTGACAGGTCACACGCTGCGTTCCTTGTTTCTTAATTTTTTGACTAGAAATGTAGCTTCTTTCATCACCTGGGAAAAGTATATAGCCGTGGAACTGAAGTTCTGCACTCAAAAATGATACATAGTAAATGGTTTTATTTATCTAGCCACTTTCTATTTCACCCTCCAATAAAATTACGTAAAAATAGACACACTAAAACTACACCCACAAAAGCAGCCAACTTTTTAAAAAATCCACAAAATTCAGTACTAAACCATAATCAATACCAGGTCAATTTCTTTCATTTTTCCCAATATAAAAATAATAAACTTGGTGTTAAATACATATTGTGTAAACAAACAAGCTTTCTCCCCAATACATTTGACTTCAGATGGGAGGGGTCACAGCAAGCTCTGGGTGCTAACCGCAGAACTCAGCCAAGATTCTGTGGTAGAAGGCAAGTTTTCAGTTTTCTTTTTTTCTTTGAAAGTATTTGGGCTGGAAGCCCATCTGACCTTCAGGTTTATATCCATATGTCCATGCTAGCTGTGGTTTTTGAATGCAGAGGGAAATGAACTCTGCACATGCTCAGAGATCCTTTACTATTTAATGTGACCTATGGTAGTCCTCTTTCCTAGGTTTTTGCTGAGCTGTTACTAAACAATAGCAGTCATTGATGAAAGAAGACAGTTTTGTCTTAATTTAGGTCGTCTGCTTCCCAAAGCAGTAGAACGAGGAACCATGGCCCTTGAACAAAGACTTTCTAACTTTGGCTACCAGGACTTGTGAGGTAAAGTGTGTGCAACACAGTAGCACTGTTCAGTGTATTACTGCATAGTCTTGATCAGGGGTTGGCAACCCCGCGCTAGCGGGTTAAATAAATTGGACATTCTTCTGCTATTGTGCAGGGAAAGAGTGGAACAAGCTTCCTGCAGGCTCTCATGTTACACTAAACAAAACTGAAAAGATTCTCTTTGTCCCAATGTAATCTCCTTCATCTGAATGTTAAAAGCTGCGCTTGGGACCTGTCACAATTATTATTGTTATTATTATTATAACATTTCTATGCCGCCCCTTGCCAAAGCCTCGGGGTGGCTTACAACACAATAAGATACATTGAAATACAATAGAACATAATAAATTACCACTAAATACAAAAATACAAAAAAAATACACTGAGATACAATAATATAAAATTAAAATTAACAGTCTAAAATAAGTAAATAAAGAATATAGGAGGAGAAAAGAGAAGGAGGAAGAAGCACTTGACTGTTTATCTGCTAATCAGTCACTAAACACACCTGTATCAGATCTGCGGACCCTCCCCCCCCCCCCAGGCCAACTGTGGATAAATCGAAGAAAAGGAAAATTTCTGAAGAAAACCAAACATTTAATGGTACGTGGGTAGATTCATTTGCTTTTACTGCTGATGAACTTACGGGGTTTGCAGTTTAATGCATGCAGCCCTTTAGCACTGCCTTTGACTCTGCAGGAAGCTGTTCTCCTATTCAAAATATATGAAAGGAGTCCTACTAGTTTATAATGTAAGATTATAATGTAAGATTAAAAATAACAGTTTTTAGTGACTGAACAAGAGCTGCGGCTAAATCATAATGAAGATATGCATAGCATTAAGGTAAAAAACGATATGCAGTGTTATCTTCATTTTAGATGTCAAAAGGGTTTTGCGGCTCCCGGTGTTTTCTTTTGTGTGGGAAACGGGTCCAAAGGGCTCTTGGAGTGTTAAAGGTTGCCGACCCCTGGTCTTGACCATCCTTATCATCCCGGAACTGTGGCTCAAATAACAATGTTGGTAATAAGTCAGCAATTGGCCTAGTGAAATGTTCTCTCCCCTTGCTTGTGAGGAAAACACAATCCAATTTTATGAAAACATTTCCCCTTCTCTATTCAGCAGCTTGTCTTTCACTCTGAACTGTACATTAGTTGGGAGTGCTGAACAAGGGGCACGGGGGTAGGAGAACGGTTCTTGAGGTACATGGTGGGCAATTACTGGTCAGAAGTACAGCTATAGAAAATGGTGCAGCGCATAAATTTGTGTTTGCACAGAAGCCTCATGCAATTTTAGCTTGTATTTCTAGCAGAAGATGGAACAGCTGAGATGCATAGCTGAACTAGGGTCTTAGCATCATGGAATTCAGAGGGGTGAAATGGAAATACTGGCTTCACAGATCCCGGTGGATTTTGCTTTCTCTGTATCCCAGGATCTGTGGTAATCTGAATTAGAGCGAAACCTAATTCCTCACTTTTACTCTACAGCTCAACGCATCTTTAAATCAGTAGTTGCCATGGCCTTTAAGTGCCTTGACAGTTCAGTACAGCAAAAGGACAGGAATGGAGAGCCAGCCTAAAAAGATCAGGTAGCTGTCAAGTTGTCACAGCCCAAACAAGTTATCTCTCTTCTGGTACTCCAGTGCGTACCTGGTCAGTTGGAACTGCCCTTTTCATTCTCTGCAATGCTGCAGAGCACACCTTGGAAAATTTAAAGGACAGCCTCTATGAGGGAGGGGATAATATTTGAATTTCCCACAGTGCCCTAGAGTAATGCTACCTCAGGTATGCTCTGGGACACTGGAAGAGCATCACTGCTGCCAGCCACTTCTCGCCACCAGGTAAGCCTACGAGGCCTCCTGAGGGGTGGAGCCCAAGCAAAGGCACTATACTGAGGGCCCCTCTGGATCTTAGCAAATTCTCTCTGGAGGATTCTTTGCAACATCTTGCCAGTCCTGTGCAGAATATCGGAAGTGGGATGAGGAATATAACACTGTTTTGCTGTAATGAACTCATTTAGGATTTTCTTGAAAAAACCAAGGCTAACAGGAAGGGAAGTTAGCTAGTGATTCTAGGTAAGTAAACAATATATACATATAGCTCAACTGTACCCCCAGTTGTAGCAGGTTTGCTTTTCCCATGGAATTAACTGGGATCCACTGAACATGGAGTTGGTCTTTATTTGTATAGCCTTATCCAATTATCTACTTATCCCTCCTTTATTTTGTTCAACTGACCAGAATCACAAGTGAAGTGAGGCAGTTACATGGGATCTTCTACTTCTTCATGTGGAATTAAAGTTATCTGCGGATCTGTAAAATAACAAAATAACCTCTCAGAAAGAAGCTTCCGGTCAGCTCCCTATGATGTTAGTTTTCTACTGGCAGGAATTATTTTTGTCTTAACACAGAGAAAGATTTAGAAACTGATCTCCCCCCTTGTACAGTTTGATATATCCATTCTGTCATCTCATTTTGTTGCATAAATTGACTAGGCCAGATCCTTGGGATTTTAAAGAGCTACATAAACCACAAGGATGTTGATAACTAGTTATTAAACAGATAGCTTATCAACTGTATAGGACAGTTTGGTAATAACCTTTTCCCCTGTGCGTGGGCAATTTTGTTATTTGCCTACTGGTGCTGAGTCCTTCTGTGCCAGTGAAATGCGCTTCTTAAGATTGAGTGTGACAAATTAGCAGGGGACTCTCGCACAGTGAGGGGCTTTTGAAAGTGCTTTGTGAGATCGGCCCATGCTAGTGCTGCAGAAATTTCTGGTTCCAAGTTCAATGCTGTAAGAGTGAGGTGGGAGTAAGCTAAAACACAGAGCTCCTAAACATGTAATCCTTTTCGTGTAGACACAGCATCATCATAGAAATTAGAGTTGGAAGGAGCCAGAAAGGCCCTTCTTCAAAGTTGTTGTTGCTGGTTGCGAGGTCGTGTCTGACCCATCGCAACCCCATGGACAACACTCCTCCAGGCCTTCCTGTCCTCCACCATCCCCCGGAGTTCACTCAAGCTCACACCAGCTGCTTCAGTGACCCCATCCAGCCACCTCATCCTCTGCCGTCCCCTTCCTCTTTTGCCATCTATTGTTCCCAGCATTAGGCTCTTCTCCAGGGAGTCCTTCCTTCTCATTAGGTGGCCAAAGTATTTGAGCTTCATCTTTAGCATCTGGCCTTCTAAAGAGCAGTAAAGGTATTTCTTCAAAATACCTTCTTGTAATAAAAGATTATCATTCAATCTCCATCCTTTCCCTCCAACTTGTTGTTCTTGCCAAATTGTTTCTAATTGATTATGATCCGAGAGTATCTGGGGCTGATCTTTACGGTCTCTAGGTTCATAATTAGATTTTTGGATATCCAGCACATATCAATCCTGAGTATGTCTGATGTCTATCAGAGAAAAAAGTATAGTCTTTGACTCTAGGGTTTTTAAATCTGCATGCATCTTCCAAATGTAGTATTTCCATATAATCAAAAACATTTTTAGAGAGTTTACTCTTGGTTTTTTTTTAGCATGTCCTTGTTAGGATCTTTAACTTCATTCCTATCACCAAGAATCAAAATTTCTCCTTGAAAATCCAGTATCAGTTGTTTTTTTTCCATAAAACTTTTTTGCATCAGTTGAGCATATATTGCTGGCAATGTATTTATCTTCCCATCAGGCATATCTTCCTTCTTGATCTATTAGTTCTTCTACAACTTTTAAGCCTTATTATTAATATAAATGGCAACTCCTTTCTTTTTATTATCAAC